AAAGTAAAATGCATATCGTCCTTAGCGTATCCTTGATTCTTTGTTGGCTAACTTGAAGTAATTCGGGCTAGGTTTTACCATTATAAGACCAAATCTGAAATCCAAAACCATTATTTGTGACCACTTCCCATTTTACAAGAATCACTCATTTCAACGTTCACTATTCATTAAAACTTTAGAGTTTGGAAATTATTTAGAAGTCCTTGACGATCGATACTTGGATAGTCCATCCATTTTATATTACTCTGACAGGTGTGCGCTTGCATCTATATAATTGTTACCACGCTTAGTGCGTGTGTTCAGCATAACGCCAGTCACTCTGCAGTAGCGCATGCTGCCAGTGTGCCCCTCCTATTAGAGAATAGCCGTTGTCACAGGTGTTTCTTTCTTACTATGGGTTATTGGGTTATATGTATGGGGTTTATGTCTTTGTCCTTGTATTATCTTTCAGGTACGGTATTAGTCCATAAAGTGCCTGCTTACGTATTGTTTGATTCGGGGTCAAGTCACACTATTATTTCCAATGCATTTGTTCGTCAAGCAAACCTTGAACTAGAGCCGTTAGGTTTTTTGTTGTCAGTATCTACGCCATCAGGGTCAGTTATGATTGCTAGTCAAATGGTGAGAGCAGGCGAGTTATCCTACGACAATCAGACCCTGGAGGTAAGATTGATCCAACTAAACATGCAGGATTTTAACGTTATATTGGGCATGGATTGGCTAGCTACCAACCAAGCCAACATTAATTGCTCGAAAAGGGAAGTCTCCTTCCAACTACCTTTTGGTCAGAGCTTTACGTTTAAAGGAGCTACGGGGGAGTTCCAAGGGCAGTCTCAGTGCTGAAGGCAAGGCACCTCCTACAGCGTGGTGCTTGGGGTTATTTGGCGAGTGTCATCGACATTAGTAAGACTACACCCAGTATCGACTCCGTCCACGTGGTTAAGGAATTCCTGGACGTGTTCCCTAAAGACCTCCCGGGGCTACCCCTGTCCGTGAACTGGACTTTTGCATCGACTTGTTACCCGAGATAGCCCCCATTTTGAAGGCATCGTACCGTATGGCTCCAGTGGAACTTAAGGAGCTTAAGGCACAACTAGAAGAGCTATTAGACAAGGGCTTCATTCGCCCGAGTGTGTCTCTTTGGGGTGCTCCAGTGCATTTTGTGAAAAAGGAAGATGGATCTATGCGACTTTGTGTTGACTACCGAGAGTTGAACAAGGTGACGATAAAGAATAGGTACTTCCTCCCTCGCATCGATGACCTCTTTGACCAACTAAAAGGAGCAAGGGTGTTCTCGAAGGTAGACTTACGATCGGGATACCACCAGTTAGAATTGAGGACGCCGACATACCGAGGACAACCTTCAGGACCAGGTATGGGCATTTTGAGTTTACTGTAATGTCTTTTGGACTCACTAATGCCCCTGTGACATTCATGGACCTCATGAATCGGGTTTTTAAGGAATTTTTGGACCTGTTCGTGATTGTGTTTATCGACGACATTTTGATTTACTCCAAGATAGCAGACCAGCACAAGGGCATTTGCGACAAGTCCTGACCGCCTTGAGAGGAAATAGTCTGTATGCAAAGTTCTCGAAATGCGAGTTTTGGTTGGATAAGGTGGCGTTCCTTGACCACATAGTCACTAGGGACGGTATTTCCGTGGACCCAGCCAAAGTAGAGGTGGCCAGTGGTTGGTCAAGGCCTCGCACAATAATCGAAATCCACAGTTTTCTCGGACTAGCTAGCTATTATAGAAGGTTCATCCAAGATTTTTCCTGCTTAGCGGCACCTTTGGCTCAGTTGACCCATAAGAGTGCCACTTTCGCTTGGAGCGACGGGTGCGAGAAAAGTTTCCAAGAACTAAAGGAGCGATTGGTCACGGGCCCAGTGCTCACGGTACCGGATGGGACAGGAGGTTTAGTGGTGTACATGACGCTTCACGGCGAGGTTTGGGTTGCGTTCTGATGCAGCATGGGAAAGTCATTGCCTATGCCTCGCGACAATTAAACGTACACAAGCTTAACTACCCCACCCATGATTTGGAGCTTGTTGCAGTGGTGTTTGCTTTGAAGATATGGAGGCATTACCTGTACGGAGAAAGAATCCAAATCTTCACTGACCACCAAAGTTTGAAATATTTCTTCACTCAGAAAGAACTCAACCTAAGGTAGCAGAGATGGTTAGAACAGGTAAAGGACTATGACTGTGAGATGAATTACCAACCGGGTAAGGCGAACGTGGTGGCCGATGCACTTAGTAGAAAAGCAACGAGCGTAACACCCCCGGCAGTGCTCATAGACCGATATTAGATGAGTTGGACCGTTCTTAGCTTGACTCTCGGTTGAACCCACCTTAAGGCAACGAATCATCGCTGCATAAAGGGGAGATCCTAGCTTAATCAAAGGTTTCGATATGGTGGGTCAGGTAGATTACTCTCTTTCAGAAGATACGGCCTTGCCCTATCAGGGAAGACTATGCGTACCAAAAGACTTCCCTTTAAGGAAGAATTTACGAACCGAGGCTCATAATACCCCGTTCTCAGTGCATCCTGGGAGCACCAAGATGTATAGGGATCTCAAGAAACACTATTGGTGGCACAACATAAAGCGAGAAATTGCCCAGTTTGTTAGTAAGTGTTTGACGTGTCAATAGGTGAAGGCCTCAAGACAGAGACCCACCAGGTTGTTGCAACCTTTAAGAATACCTGTTTGGAAATGGGATGATGTGGCCATGGACTTCATTACAGGTTTACCGAGGACGGTTAAAGGATACACAGTGATTTGGGTGATTGTGGATCGCTTAACAAAGTCTGCTCATTTCATACCAGGCAAGCCTACTTATTCAGTGGAAAGGTGGGCGGAGCTTTATTTTCAGGAGATATTTAGACTTCATGGCATACCAGTGTCCATAGTGTCAGATCGTGACCCCGTTTCACATCAACTTTTTGGCAAAGTTTGCATAAAGCACTTGGGACTCAGCTGGATTTTAGTACGGCGTTTCATCCCTAGACCGATGGTCAGACTGAGCGTCTAAATCAGATGTTGGAAGACATGTTGAGACCCTGTATATTGGACTTCGGTGGTTCTTAGGACAAACACCTGTTCTTGATAGAGTTTGCTTACAACAACAGTTACCAGGCAATAATTGCAATGGCTCTATATGAAGCTTTATACGGGAAAAAGTGCAGATCATCGGTACATTGGGATGAGGTCGGTGAGAAAGTCCTGTTGGGACCAGAGTTGGTGCAGGAGACTAATGGCGCCGTCCAAAGGATTAGGGCAAGAATGCAGACGGCTCAGAGCAGACAGAAGAGTTACGCTGATGTTAGGCAAAAGGCGTTGGAGTTTAGCGTCGGCGACCACGTTTTTCTTCGTGTGGTACTAGTGAAGGGAGTCCTATGTTTTGGTAAGAAGGGAAAACTTGGTCCGAGGTATATTGGTCCTTCTGAGATCTTGAAGCGCATTGACCCAGTCACTTATAGGTTGGCCTTGCCCCCGTCGTTGGATGCAGTGCATAACGTGTTCCATGTGTCCATGCTGAGGAAGTATGTCCATGACCCTTCTCATGTCTTGGATTCCGAACCACTACAGTTAGATGAAACCTTGTGCTATATAGAGGTACATATTGAGATCTTAGCAAAAGAAACCAAGGTGCTGAGGAATCGGGCGATTGACTTGGTGAAGATCCTGTGGAGGAACCACCAAGTGGAGGAAGCTACCTGGGAAAGGGAAGACGAGATCAGAGCCCGCTATCTTGAGTTGTTCGATCAACGAACTTTCAAGGACGAAAGTTTTTTAAGAGGGGAAGTCTGTAACGCCCCGCGTTACTCAGGTTAGATTACCCTCGAGTCTCGGGGTTCTTTCCTTAGAAATTATTTTAATTTACTTTAATTGTTCTATTTCATTTATTTTGAGCTGCTACGATATTTGTTGTGAGTTATTGGCTTTAATGTATGTATTTAATTATTGTTTAACAAAGAGTTTGTTTAATTTAGCAATTGCTTCATTATTAGAGATAATTACATTTGGTGATGTTGAGAACTAGAATTCTAATCTTTTGGCCCATGGACCTTGTTTTGTTTTAACAAAAATAATTGGGTAAGTGGGCCTTCTTTTTTAAAAAACAAAGGAGAAAAAAGGGGAAACCCAAACCCCAAAATTCTTTTTTTTC